TATTATTAATTCACAAATAATTAATTTTTCCTAAAAAATCAGAAAATCAAAAATTGTAAATATATTTTAATTATTTATTAATTTCATCATTAACTAATTTTTTGTAAATAAATATTAACAATTAACTTAGTTTAATTTAGGTTTAAATTTTAATCCTTTTTCTTAATAAATACAAATTGCATAGAATTGGGTTTTGACTTTTTAATTATTTTCTTATTATCATCATTATTAATTATTATTATTTTTGTAAATAACATGTAAATTAATTAATTAGCTTAAATTAGGTTAACTTTAACATTTCTTAATAATTAAAATAGACTTAGAACTAGGGTTTTCTTTTGACTTTTAATTCTCTTTATTTTCATTAAATACAAAGAACACAAAAAAATATCTTTCTTGTAAATAATTAATTAATAATTAGATTTAATTTTAATTTAATTTCAAGCAAAGGACAAAAAAGCTCGTAATTTCTCAAAAGGGGCAAAAACCCTAAGGACGTTCCAATTTAATTCTTTCGCACGTTTTATTTTGTTGGATTATTATGTAACTGCTTCCAAGGATGTAATAGTAATTAGGTTTATTGCTTTTTTTTACTTTCCGCATCTTTATCAAAAACGGGTCTTTGTTTTTTGGCGATGTATAGACCCGCGCCTTGTAATAGCATAGCTTTTACCTTTCCGTATTTTATTTTCCGCACTCCTAACTGCTAAATTGCATGAAAGAATGTATGATAATTAAAAACAACTCGTAGCTCACAATTGCATGATCCAAGATAAATGTTAACATGAAAACAACACACAAAGCACATGCCACTTCTAGGGTACGCCTCACTCGTTGCCTCGAAAAGTGGTCGTCAAGTATAGGGTGTTTTTTAGAGGTCACCCTCCTGTCTAAGATCCAGTTGCCTCGAAACGGTTGCCTCAGATAAAAAGGATCTAGGACATTAGGGTTGCTTCTAAGGTGTCCTACTATTGCTTCGGTGACCACACTGTCCCTACAATCGAATTGACCCGAACACCTCCAACGGTGGTGCTACCTACCTCTCAATGGTGGGATGGCACTGCCTTAAGGACTCTTACACAGCCTAATTCCTTAGGGTAGGTAGATGACTCATGGGTACTTGCTCTCTAAAAAACAAACAAAACAATCTTTTCACACTGACACTTTCAAAAGTTTTCAAAACAAATTTTTCAAACACTCTTGAGGACAGATACAAGAGTCACTCAGAAATCTTTCAATGAAACTTTTTCAAACCCACTCACATTTGAAAAGAAAACTAATTTTGAAAACATAGAGCAAGTACCTAAGAGCCCGTGGATAACCACGGATAGAAAGGGTGCTAACACCTTCCCTTTCTATAAATCTACCTCCCGAACCGAGAAACATTCTCGAATAAGGAATTTTGCTGTGCTTTTGTCCTTTCCATGTTGGAGAACATAAAAGACGGTGGAGACTCTTGCTTACCGCGACATTTCGCGAACCAGCTTTAAACAGTCAGTTCTATTTCCACCGATCACAGAAATGAAAAAAATTACCCGCTAAGCTGAAAACCCGAAAGGGTGACTTAGGAAAAAATAGGTATCCCGCTGGATTGAAAACCCGAAAGGGAGGTCCAAGAAAAAGTTAGGGATCATGAGCGAGAGGTTGTAGTCTGAATACCCTCCACGAATAACTATGAGCACCCTTGGAAGTGAATATATCAGTCCAACTACTACTCTTCAACGGTGAAGCATTGAGACGATCAAGGATATGGTGATATAGCAATATCAGGTCTAATGGAAATTCAAGAAATTCTCATTGTCATTTCCTTTTGTATTTTTCCATTTTTATTTTTTCGCAACTACGTCATTTAGGAGTTTCCTCTTTGTATGAACGCTTATTCAAAGGCAAGATCTTCAATCAATAAAATTGGTCTTTTACCAAAAGTTTTCTCTAATTATTTTCCATTTTTCGTATGCGGAATTTTGATTTAATTCCTTAGTAATCATTGCAATGAAAACCTTGGGGAATAACAATAAACACGAGCTAAAACTGAAACATGATTTTGCATGGATTTTTAATTAACTAACAGGAATGATGTGGCATCCAAGTGTTATTCTTTTGTGCAGGTAGCATCTTGTGTTAGTCACTCTCCTAGTCGAAATCATCCAATCTTGTCGGCCATTTCAAAAATCATCATCTCTTCAGAAGTCACCATGCACCAAATTCCTAGCAAACGAGGAAATCGGGGCACTGTTCAGCACAGAATTCCCAGTGATGTAACTTGGGGCATATTAAGTTTATTTTTTTAGCAAAACAAGTCCACAGAAGATTGTCGTCCTATCTTCATCAAAAAAGACAACTTGGGGCATTCCAGATGACGCTAAAAAATGTTGTTCACATAAATGATCACTAATCCCTAGCAGTGAGGCAGACTTGGGGTATGTGACGCGCATTCAACATATAATTCCTCAATAGAGTAAACTTGGGGCACTCGAGGAGTTCTATGTGGTCCAACATGTAACTCCCGCAGACGATTGTCACCTAATCTCCACCAAAGAAGCAAACTTGGGGCAGTCGAAGAGGTTCATGTCTATCTTCTGATCCCCAAGTAGTTCAAGGTGGATTTCCCCGGAATGAAATAGACATGGGGCATCCGAAGAAATCCAAGTGATGTTCAGCATGCAACTTCCCAACATATCTATGTCTAATCCTACCATCCCCAGGCAATCCAGGATGTACAGAAATCATAACAAATTATTTCTTCCCCAGCGAGTCTTCTCCACTGATCATCTTCGGGAGTTTATTTCTCCCCGGGCAATACAACAACACTTCCCAGAGAGCCTTTCATCATCCCCAGCAAAGTTACCAATGATCTTTGGTATTCAGTCCTCAACAGCACCGATCCATTTTGATATCTCGATCTAGCAAGCTGCAGTTTCTGATAAACTTTTTCTTTGCATATAATTATCATTGCATACCATTGCATCCTCAAAACGCATCGCATATCCATTTATGTGGTTCATTACGTATTAAAAAGAAATTCAAACATGCACATAAAGCATAAGCAAGATTTGGAGCCTTGCATGAAAGCCCAAATCATTCCTCCACCAAAACAATGGGAAATCCCCAACTGATGTCCTTAACTACATCATAACTCCCAGTTAACGGTGCCAGTACCTTTGTACTCTTGAATCCAAGCAAAGTCAAATACACTTTTCCAAACACATACGCATCCAGTCAATGCGCTGTAATCAACTTTCTCCAGCAAATTTTTCTTTTAGGGAATGCCAGATCCTACCTGATAGCTACTTCCATTATCACCGACCTCACCCACTTTCTTTTAGGGAATGCCAGATCCTACATGATAGCTACTTCCACTATCACCGATCTCATCCACTTTCTTTTTGAGAATGCTAGATCCTACATGATAGTTGCTTCCACTATCACCGATCTCACCCACTTTCTTTTCGGGAATGCCAGATCCTACCTAATAGCTACTTCCATTATCATCGATCTCACCCACTTTCTTTTCGGGAATGCCAGATCCTACTTGATAACTACTTCCACTATCATCGATCTCACCCATTTTGTTTTTAGGAATTCCAGATCTTTCATGATAGCTACGTCCATTATCATCAATCTCACCCATTTTCTTTTCGGGAATGCCAGATCTTTACTGATAGCTACTTCTGATATCATTGATCTCACCCACTTTCTTTTCGGGAATGCCAGATCCTACATGATAGCTACTTCCACTATCATCGATCTCACCCAACTTCTTTTCGGGGATGCCAGATCCTACTGATAGATACTTCTCCTATCATCGATCTCACCCTCTTTTTTTTCTTCAACAAATATTTCCTTCGAGAACCTCTGTAATGGCATCGTTACTACATTATCAGCTATCACCATTCCACCATAAAAACAAATATTTTTCCCTAGCAGATATTACCAGAAAACAAAACAACCCTCCTTCCTCTTTCGCACAAATTCGAGGTATTTTGTATTTAATCTTCTTCTACCTCGAATGTTCGAAATGTTGGCACCAATCCCACTTTCAGATTTAAGATGATTAAATAGGGGAAGCTGTCATACCCCAAATTTGTCCCACCCTTACATCTTTTTATTTGGCTTATTGCATTGCATTTTCATATCTTCCATTAGGTCATCTGCATATTAGAAATTTCATTCAATAAAGCTCCCGAGGTTCAAAGTTCAGTGGTGGTGTGATATCAGGTTTTCACAGTGTTTTGATGTGTATATATTCAATAAAGCCCAATTCTTCCGATTCTTCTAGTTCTTCTTCAAACGAATCAAAGTGTTTAGAGTTTGTGAGATTGGAAAGGATATGTATTTGGTTTGCTCAAGATTGAGGTTACAAAGACATTCTTGGGGTATTTCTATTCATTAACCATTCAAAATACGTTCAAGAGATGATGGGGAGTTCTAATTCAAGTTTCAAACACTTTAGTTTTCATGAGTTTTAAAGACGACTTGTTGTTCAAGAAAGTCAGGGATTCATTTTAAATCAAGATTCTTTACAGAAGAAGTGCACAAGATATTATTCTTCATCATCAATTATTTAATGCATGCTAAATCATCAAAGTTCATCTTGAAATTTAAGAAACATCACTCTATCGTTTTTATGTTCATTCAAGTTTATATCATGATCCATTCAAGTTTGATACAAAAGTATCGTCATCCAAAAAAACTCCACAAAGTTGTACAAAAGCAAGAACACCATTACAACTTCAAGATCAAAATGAAGAATGTACTTGGAAGAGGACATTTGAGATAAGCAGGTTTTCTTCATTAATCCCAAAATTCATACACAAAAAGGTTTAAAAAAAGAAGCCAAAGATCCTTTTCATCATTTCAAATAAAGTGCAAATTTCCATTATTTATAAGAAGATTCATACCAAAAAAAGCTTATACTAAAATAATGCAGTGTTCTAAATCTCGTGCTAAAATTCTAGACTTTGTTCCAAGCTTCATTTCATCATCTTCCTAAGTTTGGATCATGCTTCCAAAGTAATGCTCCAAATCAATTTATCATTGAAACTTGTGCAGCCCTGCGTTTTGTATAGCCCTGCGTTTTGTATAGAGAACCGGTACATAAGCCAAATTTTGTCAAGAAGTCATACAAGACCAATTCAACAAATTCATCCCTGCACCATAAAATCCAAACAGAGACCTGCCCTATACAAAACAACAGATTTCAACAATTTTACTTCTAATTTCTCACCTACTTCTAACAGTTCCAGCAAACTGTCGAACAAGATCAGTACTAAACACCAGCCTTGCTGCAACAATCCCAACCCTGCTTCAAATGTTTCAAAACCAGTCCATTTCAACAATAACCCGACCTGCATCCAAACCAGTTCGCAATTAGTAAATCCAATAATGCACATCACAAATAAACAAAACCAAATTCAATTCAACAATGGTTTCATACCCCATAAACCAGTTCAAATAAAACCGGTTCAACCCTAATTCGATCAGTTATTCAGAAGAAAACCATTACCAGCTCATTCAAAAATCATAAAAAGGCAGAGAAAAGTTTTAGCAATAAATCAGAAAAAACAAATAGTTTAATTCAACAATACAAGATATCAGAGGAAAAATAAGATGCAAACCGTGAGAAAATATCACATAGCAGATATGCCAGCCCATTAAGTCAGAAGGAAAAATCAGAAAAAGAGTGTATAATCTTACAGCTCATTCAATCCCATAAAATTAGGGATTACTCTCTCCACTCCAAAAACCACTCACGCATTCCTCATCCTCAACCCAGCCTAACAAAATTGCTTGCTGCCCAATTCATTCTTATTCAATTCACAGCTCATACCCTTGATCTTATCCAAACCTCTAATTTTTCTTCCCAAAACTACCCTCTTATCTCCCTATAAAACACCCCCTCATTCCTCTCAATTACACACAAATACACCAACATTCACCCAATAGTATTCACCCAACAATCACAACAATACACCAGAGTCACACAGAGAAATTAGCAGAAAAATCCTCAAAATTTCTTTCACTGAACACGATTTAACACCACAAAAATCACAAAAAACTCATAACTAACCTCATTCAAAACCATTCTTCAGCTGTTTGAAGAATCACCAAAAGCTTCCACCAAAATTTCTCCCTGTTATCACTGTTCCATAATTGTTCTTCATATTCATCAATCTCTGAACCACATCACCACAATTATTTCATTGCAACAACTACAATCTCCATCTTCATCAATGTTCATCTATCAACACCATGTATCAACACGCAACAGCAACAACTGCGGTATCAATGCAACGAGTGCACATATATTTTTTTTGAAGAAAATGAAGTACTGATAAAACGCGAGTTAAAAAGAAATCATTCTCTGTTTCATGAAGGCCCAAATCTCAACCCTAATTCCTTTTTTTTTACATTTCAATTTTAATCTGTTTTAGTCTTAATTTAATTTGTTTTTTTAGTAAACCAGAAATTAATGAATAATAATCTGAAAACAATGATGGACCATTGGGCCTCAAACTTTAAGCCCAATTTGTGTTTTCTCTGGAAGCCTACAAGCCTTGCACAAAAAGAAAAAACCTTGGACTTCTTCCTGTTTGGGCCTCTTCACCCAAGTTACTTGCTAATCATATTCCTTGATTTCATTTACACCCCCTGAATCTTTTTGTTTTATTATTTAGGTTTTTAGTCTAATTTTTTCTCTCTTAATTTTCAGATAATAAAATCAATGACAAAAGATAATAAAAAAATAATAGAGTTTTAGATTTGTTTTTTTTGGAACTTTTAATTAGGATTTATCCTTTTTGAACTTTAACTTTGTAAATAATTGTGATTATTTCTTTTATTTGCAATTCATAACAAATAATGCTTGAGATAATTTTATAGTTGATGTTTGTTAATTGCTTCCGTGATTATCATGTTCTCGTAAGATTTTTAGTTCAATTCTAACCCTTGATTAAATATTATTAATTAGACTTTAGGTTCCTATCTAAGCATGCTAATTTAGGTAACAAATTCCGTTTCAAATTTAACCTTAGGGTCATCATTGTATGATAACATTAAGGCTAGAACTAGGTTAGTCTCCCTTAGACTTTTTCGTTCCCCTTTTTATATTCTTAAAATATTTCTTTTCTTAATCAAACTTCAAAACACTTAATAATACATGATGAGGATTATACACTTGTTAAGCAATGAGGATAATAAGCGTGTTTCTTCTTAATCTTATTGGTTTTCATGCTTAACCTTTTTATGGTTCAAATCTCAAAAAACATTATCATCAGTAAGTGGAGAAAGAGTTAAATATCTCTCTCTTGAGATTCATTAGTTATTATGCACAACAAAAACACAAACCAATTCAAACTCTTTTTCCACTTGATTTTTCCTTTTGAAAATTCTTTTCATAAAGCGAATGTGTTTTACCCATTCCAGCATGAAGCGAACTCAACGACTTAAGCCTCTTCAACGAGCTCCCAACAAGTCAATATGTCGCCGTTTGGAATTTATAACACATCATTCTCATTAAAAACACACAACAAAAAATATTTTCTAAGAAGAACTACGAGTGCCTTGATCCCCCACTGCACGAAGGGTGGTACATAGGCACTAAAGGTTCACAACCGCGGCGGGCACAACTAATAAAAACCTTCTTTTTGTATATACTTTACATTGCATACATTCCCTTGTAGCATTAAGCTTTAGACTTAGATTTTTACACCCTTAGATTAGAACAAACTTGAGTGGATCCAGTGGAGTACCACGGACGTGAGGGATGCTAATACCTTCCCCTCGCGTAATCGAATCCCTTACCCTTTTCTCTTGGTCGTAAGACCATATTCTTTCCTCTCCTTTAGGTTTATTCAGTGTTTCCTTTCCCTCTCTTCGAGATAAATAACATTGATGGCGACTCTGTTTTCCACCTATCATTCGCGCTTCGATTGAAAAATCCCAGACGTGAAACACAATCCCAATTTCTACACAATTTCATCATATTACAGGTCTCAAATGTTCATAATTCTACTTGGTTTCATCAAATAACAACAACACAATTTATCATATACCATATGCATCATTTCTTTACAAGAAAACATTACAATTTCATCGATTCATCATCAAATATCATAATAACATCATCATCATCCTAAAACCCCAACACAACCTGCAATTATCTAAACCTTATATCAATTATAATAACAACGATAAACCCCTTACCTTAGATTTCTCCTAGCAATTGATTTCTCTTCGTGTTCTATCAAATCCCTCTGAGTTCTTCTGTACCATAGCTCTCTTCGCAGCGTTCTTCTCTTTTCACGATTACATAGAATGAACGCTGACACTATTTTTCCCTAGTTTAACATTTGGCCCCTTTATATGGTTTTCCCATCTTACTTGTGCTTATCCATTCACAATTTACCACTTTTTCCTCATAGCTTCTACCTCTTATTGTTATTCTATTTAACTATATAAAATTATCCCAATTATTTATTCTAATTATCTAAATTATTATAAAATATTCTATACCTTATTAATTCTTACCACCCCATCATACACCATACAAAACATCATATTAAGTATCATGATCATTAACACATCATATAAACACCACAAATATGTCACCAAAACTCATCATAAATTAATCAAATAATTAAATAAATAATCTAATTATTTTAGGGTGTTATAACTCTCCCCCACTTAAAAGAATTTTTTGCCCTCGAAAATTACCCGACGGAAACAAATTTGGATAAAACTCTCTCATCTGATCCTCACGTTCCCATTTCCAACTTTGACCAGCTGGTCCATCCCATAATACCTTCACTAAAGCGGTGTCTTTACCCTGGAATTTCTTCACTTCTTGCCCTTCTATTCACACGGGTGATGCTTTAACAGTCAGGTTATCTCTCACTTGTACATCATCCATTTGAATCACATGCGAAGGATTCAAAATGTACTTTCTATACTGAGACACATGAAACACATCATGAATATTCACAAGCGATAGCGGTAAAGTAATCTAATAGGCCACCTCATCTATCTTCTCTGAAATATGATATGGACCAAAAAAATACGATGTAAGCTTCCTCGACTTCAAAGCTCTACCAACACCAGTCACCAGAGTAACTCTTAAAAACACATGGTCATCCTTTTGGAATTCAATTGCCTTCCTCCTCTTGTCATGATATCTCTTCTGACGACTCTGAGAATCTTTCATCCTCTGTTGAATCACCTTAATCTTTTTAGTCGTCTCATGTACAATCTCAGGTCCGAGTAGAAATCTCTCGTCACGCTTATACCAACACAATGGAGTTCTACACCTTCTACCATACAACGCTTCATACGGTGCCATACCAATACTCGCATGAAAACTATTATTATATGTAAACTCAATCAATGGCAAGTGACTATCTCAAGATCCCATTGTTCTACCACACAAGCCCTCAGCAAATCCTCAAAATACTGAATAGTCCTCTATGTCTGACCGTTTGTTTATGGATGATATGCAGAGCTCAACCTTAACTTAGTACCAAAAGCATTATGCATACCTTCCCTAAATTCCAACGTAAACCTCAGATCTCTATCTGATACGATACTCAAAGGTATTGCATGTAATTTCACAACCTCATCGATATACATCTCAACTAGCTTCTCCATAGGATAATTAATCTTCATTGGTAAGAAATGAGCCGACTTAGTCAACCTATCCATAATCACCCAAATTGAGTCGTTGCCTTTAATAGTCTTCGGTAAACCCGACACAAAATCCATAGAGACACTCTCTCATTTCCACTCTAGAATACTCAAAGGTTGCATAATACCCATAGGCTTTTGATGTTGAATCTTCGACTTTTGACAAGTCAAGCAAGCATAAACAAACTTAGTGATATCCTTTTTCATACCAAGCCACAAAAATAACTTCTTCAAGTCTTGATACATCTTTGTGGCATCGAGATGAATATTCAACTCGCTTCGATGTCCTTCTTCTAGAATACTTCTCTTAAGTTCTGGAATATCCAAAGCACAGACTTTGTTTTCAAACCTCTTCACACATTTATCATTGATTTTGAACTCACCTCCATTACCTTGGTTAATTGAGTTCAACTGGTCAACCAAATTCAAATCATATTTCTGACCTTTCTCAGATTTCTTCTATTATACTATTAGTCAGTTTTAACATTCACAACTTCACGCTATTGGGAATCTCTTCACATACTAAGCTCATATCTCTAAATTGTTCGATCATCTCCAATTCTCGAACCATAAGCATTGACATGTGCAACAATTTTCTACTCAATGCATCGACAACTACATTTGCTTTACCCGGATGGCAATTCAAATCAAAGTCATAATCCTTAAATAACTTAAGCCATGTTCTTTGCCTCATATTCAACTCCTTCTGGTAAAACAAGTATTTTAGACTCTTATGATTACTGAACACTTCAAATTTAGATCCAAAAAGATAATATCTCGAAATCTTCAATACAAACATCACAATTGCTAGCTCTAAGTCATGTAGGATAATTCCTTTCATGAACATTAAATTGTCTAGAAGCATAAGCAACAACCTATCCATTTTGCATTAGCACACCACCATGACCCATCTTCGACTCATTACAATACACCACAAAAGCATCACTTGGGTTAGGAAAAATTAATATCAGAGAAGTCGTCAAGTTCTTTTTCAATTCTATGAAAATTTCCTCATACGCAACATCCCACACATAACCTTGACCTTTTCGAGTTAACTGAGTTAACGATAATGCTAACTTAGAGAATCCTTCAATGAATCTTCGGTAATAACCTGTTAAACCAAGAAAACTTTAAATCTCAGTCGCATACTTCAGAGTCTCCCATTGCAACAATGCATTAACTTTAGAATGATCCACACCAACTCCATCACTAGAAATCACATGACCAAGGAAACTTACTTCCTTTAGCCAAAATTCACACTTCGAAATCTTAGCATATAGATTCTTCTCTTTCAACACTTTCAACATCATTCTTAAATGCTTCGCATATTCCTCTTCGGATTTGGAATAGATCAGAATATCATCGATGAACACCACGACAAACTTATCTAAATATGAATGAAAAGTT